TCCTATATTTGGACGAGGAGGCAGTTGTCAGAACAGAGCAAGGAGACACTGCATGGTTCAAAATCAGGAAGGTTGTACGCCAGGGATGTGGCTTATCTCCATACCTTTTCAACCTAGATGTAGAACAGATCATTCGGTAGGCTGGGCTGTATGAGGAGGAATGTGGCATCAGAATACGTGGAAGATTCATTAACAACCTGCTTTATGCAGATCATATAGCCTTGCTTGCTGAAACTGAGGAGGACCTGAAGCACAACCTTTAATATGAAGTGAAGCTCAACATCAAGAAAACAGAATCTCACCACTGAGCTGATTGGCAGCTTCATGATAGATGGTGAAGAAATAGAGATTATTAACAGGTTTAGTTTGCTTGGCTCCACAATCAATGCTCTTGGAAATCAAGGAAATCAGGAGATGAATTACATTGGGAAAGTTGGCTGTCAGGGACCTCTCCAGAGAACTGAAGAGCAATGACATCAGCCTGGAGACTAAGATGCTCCTGATCCAGGCCATAGTCATCACAATTATTGGCTATGCATCAGAGAGCTGGACAATGACTAGAGATGTTAAAATTGATGCCTTTGAGCTGTGGTGCTGGAGAAGAGTATTGAATATACCATGGACTGTTAGGAAAACAAACAGATTCGTCCTGGAGAGTGTGAGACTAGGCTGCGCCTTTGAGGCAAGAATTCTGAGGCTTTGTTTGAAGTTCTTTGGTCAAGTTGCAAGGAGGGAACAGTCCTTGGAGAGGGACATCATGCTTGAGAGGGTGGACAGACAGAGAGAGAGAAAACCCTGGGTGAGATGGATTGATTCAGTGACTGGGGTAATGAGAGTAGGTGTGTCAGAGACAGTGAAGTTGGCACAGGATAGAGCAGGGTTCAGGGCTTTTGTCCATTGGGTCACTGTGTGTCACAAGTGACTCAGTGGCACATAACAACAACAACAGCAGCAAAGAAGAATGGATGGCTGTACACTGTGGTGCTGGAGAAGAGTAGTGAACGTCCCTTGGCCGGCCAGGAGAACAAACAGATATGTCTTGGAGGAGGTGCAGCCAGGGTGCTCCTGAGGGGCAGAGATGGGGCACTCCGTCTCTTGTATTTGGACCTATTGTCCGGAGGGGCCAGTCCTTGGAGGAGGACATCATGCTAGGAAAAGTGGAGGACGTGCAAAGGAGCTGAAGAACCTCAACAAGGTGAAATGACACAGTGACTGTAACCACGGGCTCAGATATCATGGTGGTGAGGGTGGGACAGGACAGTGTTCACAGGTCACCGTGAGTCATGGTCGACTCGAAAGCAGTGGATGGCGGTGAGCTTTGTGACGGTGGTCTGGAGCCAGCCCGCAGTGTCTCTGAGGTGGACTTCTGCTGCCTTCTTATTATTGATAGACTCAGGTAGTAGGAGTCGTTGAAGGTGGGGAAATCCTGGGACGGTTCGTTGGTCTGACAATCCAAACGCTAGCTTCAACTCCGCAGTCTCTAGATGCTTTCTTCTTGTCACTCGCAGTCTTTTCGTTTTTATCAGCATAATGAAAAGTGGAAGGAGTTCTGGTGGCCTAGTGGCAAGAAGCTGCACTGGAATCCCAGAGGCACACAGGTTTGAGGCCACCAGCTGCTCTGTGGAAGGATGGGCAGTTTCCTCTTGTGTGATTAACTCTCTCTGGAAACCTGCTGGAGAATCAGCTGTGGGTTGATTCCAACTCGACAGTCACAACAACGACAATAAAAACTGGGTGTCAGGAATGAATCTTCCAACTTTAGGGAAATAAAGAAGAGAGGCATCGAGGGCAAGTGAGGGAGACAGGGGTTCCTTTTTTTGTATCTTTTTTTAAACTTTTTTCTTTTCTTGCTTGTGTGCCATCAAATTGAATCCGATTGGTACAGGAAGAGATTGCCCTTCCTTCTCCAGCAGAGCATCTGCTGGATTTAAATTGCGCACCTTTGGGATTGCAGTGCAGCTTCTTGCCACTGGGCCACCAGAGCTCCCAAGACAGGGGTTCTTAAATCCCTTCAGCTCCCACTTGGTGGTGAGAACTAAGTCATGTGTCTCCCCCTGGCCTTAGGGCATGCAGAGCTGGCGTCTCTCTGAAGGCCGTGCATTGTGGAGAGGACAGATAGAATACTGATGGGTGACTAGCAGTTTGCTGTGTAACTTGTCAGTGAAAGAACCATCTGGAAAGGATGAGTGGAATGAACTTCATTGGATCTTGGTGATGGAGACTCTTCATTCTTGCCCTGTCCACTCACCGTGCCGAGGGTGAACTTTCTTGTGATAGCGCCTGCTCACTGAACCAACTTCCCCACCCCCTCCTTACCTGGAGATAGTGAACTTATTTGTGCAGATGACACAACTTTGCTAAAAGTGAAGAGGACGTTAAGCTTGCTGCAGAAGGTCAAAGTCTGCAGCCTTTAATGTGACTTGAATTTCAATGTCAAGAAAACCAAAATCCTCTTCACTGGACCAATAGGTAACATCATGATAGATGGAGAAAAGATGACAACTGTTAACGATTTCATCTTACTTGGATCCCCAGCGGACCCCCTTGGTACCAGTGTCAGGAGATGCATCGAACTGGGAAAGTCTGTAGTCAGGGACCTCCCCAAATAATTGAGGAGCAGTGATGTTCATTTGCAGACCAAGGTGCACCTTCCTCAGGCCATGGTCTTCTCAGTCACTTGCTGTGCATTTGAGAGCTGGATAACGAATAAGGATGACAGAGGAAGGATTGCTGCCTCTGAGCTGTGGCGTTGGAAAAGAGCACTGAACATCCGACGGACGGCCAAAAGAATAACAGAAATGTCTTGGAGAGGGTGCAGCCAGAGTGCTCCTTCGAGGCAAAGGTGACAAGGCTTCTGCTCACTTACTCTGGACTTGTTGCTCTTCCTTGGAGAGGGACATCATGTTTGGAAAGAGGAGAGGAAGACCTTCAACTAGATGTGTTGACATAGTAATTGCAGCAGTGGACTTAACTGTATCCGACATTGTGAGGATGGCACAGGATGAAACAGTGTTCAGATCTCTTGTTTAGAGGGTCACTGTGAGTTGTACTGACGACACCTAATAACAGCAGCAACCTCCTTGAAGATGTTTGAAACTCTGTGTTTTACCTCTAAGCTGATCTTGACCAGACCAGGCTGCATGTCTCCTGTTTGGCTTAGAGGTCGTACCTGGAGGCTTGTTCCCAGCTCCCTTGGGATCTGAAGTGGTTAGCCATTATGAAGACTTTGTTTTCTCTAGGGAGCTCTGGTGGTCTAGTGGCAAGAAGCTGCACTGCAATCCCAGAGGTATGTGGTTCAAATCCACCAGATGCTCTGCTGGAGAAGGAGGAACAATCTCCTCCTGTACCAGTCAGATCTGATTTGACGGTACACACACAAAATAAAATTTAAAAAAACCCCAGTTTGTTTTCTCCTCAGTAGTTGGTTGAAGCCTGCGTGGTGTGCTGATGGAGTCGGCAGATGATGTTGAGGAGTGGAAAGAGTGGATTACCTAGGAAAGCCCAGACCTGTTACTGTCAAGTTGATTCTCACTCACACTCTGCAGGGCAGAGTAGGAGCGGCCGGAGATGGCTTTTCGGACATGCTCCCTCTTCACGCGCGTGCTGCCGTGTCTTCTCTTGGGAGCAGCTGGTGGGCTTCATCCGTTCCCCTGCACCCCTGTGGGCTACATACAACCTGCTGCTGTCAGGTGAATTTCGGTTTAGAGCTGTGGTCCAGTGCTTCCTGACTTTGTTTTATCTGAGACAAACTTCTTTTCCCCCTTTCTTGTTGTGCACCGTTGACTCAGATCCAACTGGCACAGGAGGAGATTGCCTCTCCTTCTCCAGCGGAGCATCTGGTGGATTTGAACCAACGCACCTTCAGGATTGCAGCGCAGCTTCTTGCCACTCGGCCAGCAGAGCTCCTGCTTACCGCCTTTGGCTGTTGCCTGTAAAGTGTGGGGGAGGACGTGGCCCTCAGCTGCCGTCGAGTCTTAGGGCCTTGGACTCCTCGGGGCTGTCTCGCTCTGCCCTCCAGGGTGTCTCAGAGGTGTATGCATCGAGTGTTTCATTAAGTGGTGTGTACTGTTCACTGCAGTGTACCCCAGCATCATAGATCTGTGCACTGAGAAGGAAAAAGAGGTCACTACTTAAATCCTGATGCGCCATTAACTGTGGGTGGTGGCGTCCGGCGTTGGCGGTGTGAGCAGATGAGAACCGTGAGTTGGTGCACTGTTGGGTGGATGTGATGCTGAAGGACTGTGTTTAAACCCCGGCGGGGTCTGTGCTTTCTGGGCGAGGAGGACCACTCTGTAACGGGACCTGTGTAGCACAGTCCGTCCAAAGCTGTACTGCCGACCTAAATGCAGTCGCTTCAAAACCACCAGCCGCTCCACGGGAGATGGATTCCCAGCCTCCAGGTGAAGGACCCGGAGGCCAGCTGTGAGTCAGGTCCGACTGGACAGCTGTGTGTGAGTGGACATATATTACATACATGCACACACACAGAACTCAGGGATATGTGAGCGCAGACACGTACTGAGCGCCGTTGAGTCAGAGCCAACTGAGCGGGCGCTCTCCTGGTTTCCTGGAGGCTGTAAATGTCACAGGAGGAGGTTGCCCGTCTCTCTCCCGGGGAGCTGGCTGGCGGATTCCGGGTGCTGGAGGTGACGCCTTTGGGTGGGCCAAGCAGCCCCCACCTTGCTCGGCCTCAGAGCTCCCTGTGTGTATTCACACACACGCATCCATATAGGTGCGCACACACATAGACAGATGTTTGTACCTGTACTCACACAGTGCGCACCGTTACAAAGTTCAGAAAGTACAGTCTTGGCCCGTTTAGCTTTGCAGGGATAGTGACACTTACAAGCTGGGCTTCACGACGAGGATATTTTTATAAACTAAATTCCTGCTGAACCAGTCCATGGCAGTATTCCCAGCAGTCACTGTGGTGCCAGTACTCAGCCAGTGTCTCGAGCAGCACCGCCTGGACACCTCTGTGAGGCACCCTGATTCCACAGGGCAGGCGGAGACTCCCCTGTGGGCAGCTGTGGACCCCAGCCCCTGACAGCACTGGGGGGAGCGTGTGTTCGTGGGCAGCCCCAGCCCCTCTACCACCCCCAGGCCCAGGGTCGTGGCTTATCCCCAGCTCTGAGACTCAGACGCAGAGGTAATTGTGGTGGATTATTCTACATGTCTTCATCTCCTTTCTTTTTCCTTTTCGTTTTCAGAAAGAAAGAACTTCTGAACACCAAGAAGGACCGTGTGAACCACTGTCAGACGATATGTGAGAATATCGTGGCACAGTCTCTCAGGTAGTGCACCCCACTCTCTGCAGAATGTGAGCTCTTCGGCTGTGCCCAACCCTCCGGGCTGGAATATTCTCTGTCCCCGCTTGTCTTTAACCTGTGCACAAGTCTGCTAGTGAGAGGCCTCCCTCCCCGTCTTTGTGGCTGTGCTGAGTCACTCTCCTCTGTGTCATCTACCGATGACTCAGCCGTGGGGCTCTGTTCCGTCAGCACCACTGGGAGCTGTGTCATTCTGTCTGGTACCTTTACGTTTCTTGACGGTAACTGAGACCATGTGGGACTGTCTCACGTGGTGTCCTCTAACTAGCTTTTCTCCAGCTGTTTGGCTGTGAGTTCTACCTGGAAGTTTGTTCTGTGCTCCTGGGGGTGGCCAGGGCCACCTCACCTGCTTGTTCTGATTAGTGGGGACACTAGCCGCATGTCCCCACGTGGTTCGTGGCTTGAGGACCCTGAGCTCTGGTTCCCATATCCCTGTGGCCGTGAACGGCTTCTTTAGCTCCTGGCTAATCCGGAGAAGCGTTGGGAGGAAAAAATGAAAACGTCAGAGACTCTGTCCTGAGAAGAAAAGTTTAAAAGTTTCACGCTGGTATGTGCATCTAGAAAACAAAAGTTAGATAGAAAAGGGAAGAAAAAAAAAATGGAATTCTCTCCCTCTTGCTTCTGAGTTGAATGAGTTTAGGTAATTTTAGCTCCCGTGAGGATCTGCCACTTCAGTTTTGAAATGTAAACTCCAATTATAAGACTCCTTTGTGATCAAATGATAGATGTGAGACCTCCGTGGAGAGCTACACAGAGGCATTCCTAGGCGCTGAGAGAGAAATGGACCGTGTGGTGGTGGTCCCTGCCCCGATCTCTCCTGCAGGGAGAAATCCCAGCTCTGCAAAAGCTGCACTGGATACTCTCATGTGGTTCCCCTCACTGCAGCCAGATAGAAAGATGTGTCAGTCGTTCTGCTTCCTTCTGTGGGAAGAACCGCTGACTGCTTGACAGCGGTCTGCTGCTCCCGGGCAGCCTCGCTCTGCCCTCCACCATCCAGGCCTCGGAGAAGGACCCTGCTTTGCAGCGGCCTGTGAGTCGGCCGAGCCCTCTCCCGCCCAGGACTCTGCGCTGCACGTGCGTCATGGTTCTTCCTGAGGATTCGCCGGCTCAGTCCCGTGTCAGCAGTGTCTGCCGACAGAGCTCACGGCCAGACGTGGCTGAGTCAAGCTAATAGTTTTCCCACTCGTGTGCTGTCTGTCTTTATGGAGTCAGGCAGACAGCTTACTGTACCTCCTCTTTTAGAGGACCTTGCTCACTGCACCTCTTCCTCCAGAGAAGAGCTTGCCAACTGTGGCTTACAGCGTCAGAGAGCCAGGGGCGGGCGGGTGTGTGAGAGGCATCTGTCCCGAGGTCACGTAGGCCATCACCAGGACACTATGCCCTTCAGGAAGCCTGGCACCACACGGCCTCCGTTAGCTTCCTTCTCCGTCGCTCGGCTCCCTCCTTCACTACAAGAAATTAGACTCACTGATCTGTGGGCAGCCGCAGTGCCTCTGGCTTTAACAGGAGACACTGCACATGCTGTTGGAACTGGAAGAGCGGGGATCATTGTTAGAAAGTGACAGAGAACTTGCTCGATTTGTGTTTGAATATTTTGTGGAAAGTGAAGCTTTTAAGTGTAAACTTGGGTATTTATGCAAGGAGATTTCCAGAGTTTTATCTTCTTGTTCCAGGGCACATTGGAGGGGGACCCCAGCCTGGGACGGAGTTTCTGCTGGTCTCAGAGCCTAGGGTAGGCCTCCTGGCTAGGGATGGTGTCTCTGGCAGCCCAGAGGACGGGCGTAGACCAGGTACCCAATCAGAGATGGTTAGTATGAAGAGAAGTCGTAACTGGCCCAGGATGCCAGAGATTAACGCACTCTGGAGGGTGCACTGCTCCACGTGTGACTGTGAGCTGTGTCAGGTGAGGATGCACAGGGCGCCCGCCGAGAGGCAAAGGTCCCCTTCAGAGGTGGTGTCGACGCCAGTCCTGGGGCTGGCTGCAGGCCAGGCACTCAGCAGTCCACGGACTCCCAGAGGGAATCTCTGAATGTGAGCTTTTGGTTCTGGACACGGAGCTGGGGCTGGCTCGGGGACGGCCAGCCTCTGATGGTGGAGGTGGTACTTGTAGTTGTTAGGTGCTGTCGAATTGAACATGACTCATAGTGACCTTGTAAACAACAGACCTGAATTCTGTCCTCTGACATCCTCAAGCCCATTACTGCAAACACCATATCATTCCTCCAGGTTGAGGGTCTTCCCCTCTCTCACTGTCACTCCACCTTTGCAAGCATGATACCCTTTCCAAGGAATAACCTCTCCTAGTGACAGGCCCACAGTGTGAGAGATAAAGCTTTGCCATCCTTGCCTCCAGGGAGCACTCTGGGAACTCTCTTCAGGACATATTTGTTTGTTATTTTACGGGCCATGGGTTATTCAGCACTCTTCTCCAAAGCCACAGCTCAGAGGTGTCAATTCTTCTGTCATCCTTCATGCATAGCAAGTGACTAAAAAGACCACGGCCTGAATCAAGTGCACCTTAATCTTTGAACAAATATCGTTGTTGTTGTTGTTAGATGCCATTGAATTTACTGTGACTCATAGTAACTCTATGAACCAAAGATCTGAACCCTGTTCTATCCTGCGCCATCCTCACACTTCCTGACACACGAGAGCCTGTTGCAGCAGTCACCGTGTCAGTCCACCCGGTTGAGGGTCTTCCTCTCCTTTGCTGACCCTCCACCTTTCCCAGCATCACGTCCCTTTCCAGGGAACAGCCCCTCCTAGCAACATGCCTAAAGTATGTGAGGTGAGGCCTCGTCGTTCTTGCCTCCAAAGAGCCCTCTGGCTGCTCCGTCCCCAGGACATAGCCATTTGTTCTCTTGGCCGTTCATGAGTTGTTAGTGCTCCTTTCCAACACCACAGCTCAAAAGTGTCAGTTCTTTTTCTGTCATCTTTATTCATTGCCCAGCTCTCATATAGCAAGTAAATGGAAAGACTGTGGCCTGAATCAGACACACCTTAGTCCTCAAACTGACATCATTACTCCTCGGTAATTTGGAGTGGTCCCTAACTGCAGATTTTCCTAGTGCAGTGCACCTCCTTATTTCCTGACTGCTGGTATCAGGGGTGTTAATTGTGGATCCAAGCAAGATGAAGCTATTGGCAGTTTCAATCTCCTCTCCATCCATCATGATGTTGCCTGTTGGTCCAGTGGTAAGAATCTCTGCTTTGTTAACACTGAGGTGCAGTCCACACCGAAGCCTGCATTCCTTGATCCTCTGCAACATGTGCTTCAAGTCCTCCTCACTTTCGACAAGCACGGTTGTGTTAGCTGCATAACGCAGGTTATTAATGTGTCTCCCTGCAATCCTGATACCACCCTCCTCTTTATAGGGTCCAGCTTCTTGGATAATTTGCCCAGCATACAGATTGGATATCATCACTCCTCAGTAATTGGAGAGGTCCTTGACAGCAGACTTTCCCAGTGCAATGAGTCTCTTCACTCCTGCCTCTTGGTACCAAGGGTGTTACTTGTCGACTAAAGTAAGACGAGACTGTTACTGTGCAATCAGTGCCCTGGTTGCCCTTACATAGGCAAAATAATTATTTCTAGCAGGCGGAAGAGTCTAGAGGAGGGGTCAGTGCCCAAGCACCAAGGTGGTCCCGCTTACACCAATTTCAGTGTCTCTTGGGAGAGCAGACTTTAGTGCATGGAGCATTGAAGTGTAGGTCGAAGCTTCTTATTAGCACACAGGGATGAGAAGAAAAATTTGAGGAGGCAGAAATGAGGATAAAATAGTAAAGGTAGATATATGAGGAAGGTACATCCCCCAAAGGATGGACTTTCCTCCTTGAAAGGAGATCTGTCCACCAGACGCTCTGCTGGAGGAGGGGCAATCTCCTCGTGTTCCAGTCAGATCTGATTTGATGGTACACACACACACACACACACACACACACACACACACACACACACAAATAAAAAATTAAAAACCAAGAGAGGAGGTCTGGAGGGGCCGTAGTTTGCTAGTGAGGCCAGGCTTTCTGTATGGCGTCCTTCTCTGGAGGGCCTTGGGGTCGTTTGAGGTGAGCCAGCTTGTCAGCAGTGGGCTTGGTGTATGAAATCTGAATACAGTGAAATCTCGCTGATGGGCATTTTGTGTCTGCATTGAGAGAAGCTGTGTGAAAGGTGGGTTCTTCACATTGCTTGTGTGTTGTTACTGTTTTGTCTGTTCAGCTGAATGAGCTCCTCTGCAGTACTCTAGGGCGTGGCCTGTCCACCCAGTGGCTGGCTGTGTCTGGTGGTTCAAACCCACCGGCCCCTCCGAGGTGCTGACTTTATGGCTTGAAAACCCAGTGGCTGGCCCCTGTGAGTCGCAGTGGACTTGATGGCTTGAGGGAGTGTGTGTGCGTGTATGTGAAGGCCTGTGATGCTCTGAATTCCCTGACGTCAGGCCCATGTCCATGCCGGCCTGCTTCGCCATGGCTACGCCTGCCTGGATGGGTCCTGATGGTCCAAATCTTTTTAAAGATATTTTACAAAACTTTGTGAGGCTTTAGGTTTTGTAAGGCAGTGACGGTCCATCCGCCCACTGCCCATTGTCACTTCCGCGTGACTCAGTGGTCTGGGAAGACACTTTAGAGGTGTCTAAGGTTATAAATCTTTATTGAAAAAAAGGCTACCACCTCCTTCTCCTGTGTGGGTGCTGGTGGGCTTGAACTGCCGGCCTTGTGGTCAGCAGCTGACTCCTGTAAGTAGCGTGTTATCAGGGCTCCTGAGCCGACACAGCTGGGCAAGGTGGTGCGAGGTGCAGTGATGCTCAGAACAGAGAACATGCTGGGCATGAACTGGAAGCTTCCACTCTCGCTGACCCTCCAGGGCCCAGGAACTTTGTGACGGTCATGTGTCCGCAGAGAGTGTCTGAAGCAGTGCCTGACGGTTTTCAGGAAATCGCGAAGGGCAGCGAGTGTGGGCTTGCTCACAGGGGCTCTGCTTCTCTGTTCAGGAGTCTTGGCAGATCAGTTCAGATGGACAGGAAAACTGACGACAGCGTAGTGTCCATGGGCCCACGTCCTGTGCCCCCTGCCGTCGGCCTGGTCAGTGGAGCGGCCACAGCGCTGTCGCTTAGGCTCCTTCCTCGTGGCTCTGACAATTGATCGGTCTCTCTTTTGGTTTTTTTTTAGAAATTCTCCAGAATTTCAGAAACTGCTGGGCATCGCCGTGGAGCTCTTCCTGCTGTGCAGTGATGACGCGGAGTCGGATGTCCGCATGGTGGCCGATGAATGTCTCAACAAAGTGATCAAGGTGAGACCCGTGTCGGCTCGGCTCGGCGGCGGCCTGCCTGCCAGGCCGGGAGGTCTGGGGCCGTGCTGTCCTCTACAGTAATGTGCCACCCAGGCGGGAGGTCTGGGGCCGTGCTGTCCTCTACAACGAACTGCTTCCCAGGCCGAGAGGTCTGGGGCCGTGCTGTGCTCTACAGTAATGTGCCACCCAGGCGGGAGGTCTGGGGCCGTGCTGTCCTCTACAGTAATGAGCCACCCAGGCCGGGAGCACTGGGGCCGTGCTGTCCTCTACAGCCACACACCTCCCAGGCCGCGAGAACTGGGACTGTGCTCTTCTGTACAGCGATGTGCCTCCCAGGCCAGGAGAAACTGGACTTGAGCCTCGTTTTATTTTGTTGAGTGGCAAAGTCCCTTAAAGGTGAAGCAACTATAAAAAGATTGTGGTGTGTGCCTTGGAGGTGCTCAGTATCTGTCTGCCAGTGTGCTCTCTATACCTGTGGGCTCCGAGGCTTCCTTCCGAGGGGTACCTGGCGCTCACCATTGCCTCAGTTGGTGGTGGGCTCTGAGGGGGACCACCAGGTGCTTTGGGGAGACCATTGCTACAGGCTCTTAACTGAGAAGCCCTGGAAAGCTGGGGCTGGGTGGAGGCCGTCTCTGGTACCTCCTCCACCCTCTCTCCCAGCCTCCTTTCTGGCACCTCCTAAGGCCTGGCTCAGGAAGTGCTGTGTGTACCGGGCAGCAGGTGAACATGCGACCTCTTCGGGGGATACGTTAACTGGGGCTAGTGTGGCGTGAGCAGAAGGATGGTGATCCCAGGGAGAGATGGTGAAGCAGCCAGATGCTAAGCCCTTTGAGGAGTGCGGTGAGGTGAGGCCGGGAGGGAGGTGGTGCGCTCTTGGGCTGTGACTGCCTCCTGGTTCAGGGTCTGCCCATGCTCACCGTGACCTCAGGCCCTCCTCTGTGTTCTGTAGCTTCGGGTTGGTGTCATGAAGTAGCCCTTTCATGCACTGTTTCTTCTTACATTGGAAAGCTATCCTTCTCACTCTAGTTGGAGTTGGGGTCAAGTCCCATCCTGGCACTGAGTCTTTAGATTCTGAGTCTAATTGGAAATATGGTAAAATCGCTGCTGCCGGCCCAGCACCCGAAGAGGCTCTGACAGTTCTCGGCACTTTCTCTGAGGGCTGGTTCTTGGTGACAGTTAGGCACAGTCTGTCTTGCTCTGTGCTCGATGTGGCTGTGTATTTGTTGAGTCTGATTTTTCCTCTTCTACTGCTTGGAGTCCCTGTCCTGAGAGACAAGGCTCTCCCCTTCCCTCCAGGCTCTGCCCCTCGTAGCTGGCCACGTGAACCGAGAGCCCCAGCCTGTGCTGCTAGGGCAGTCACGCTCCGCTGGGATTTTGAAAAATAAGTTTGTCCTTTGGGCTCCTCCAGGCTCTGTCTTTGGCGTCATTGGTGAAGAAATGAGCTGTCCTGGTCTGTTCACGTGTCCAGTGTGAAGATGTCCACCCTTCAGCCCTGCACCTGAGGAGGTGTGAGTTGTTGTTTCCTAGGCAGCAAGAGTAGACATGGTTTGGACTGAGGGGACCCTGGGTTTGAATCCTGCCTCTGCCACTTAACTTTCTGGAGCACTCTGTCCAGTGTAATTTCTGTGAACCAGTTCTCTAAGCTGTGATGGGACAGGCAGGCTCTTGTGGTGTATGTTTGAGAACGTGTCTGCTCTACGTGTCACACTTGCCACGTACTGGATCCTTGACGTGGTGAAGAGTGTGTCATTGCTAACACTCTTGTTTGGTGCAGTTTGATTGGTTGTGACCCTGACCACCCTTCATGCAGCCCAGAGAGCCACTGCCTGTCCTGCACCATCCTCACAACTGCTGTGCCCTTCTGTCGTGTTGAGGGTCTTCCTCTTCCCGCTGACTCGACTCGTCCACTGTGGCGGAGTCCTGATCGGATGAGCATGGAGCTAGGACAGGCCTGAGCATAGACCGATGTCCGGGATGGGCAGCAGCGGCCACAGAGAGGATAGGTTCTGGATTCCTGTCTTCCGATGAGTACTCCTGAGCCTGCGCAGTGAGGGCATGGTCTCCATGGCCCAGGACAGTGCAGCACAGCCTGCGTGTCCCGCTCTCACAGTGATGTGAGGTCCACCCGGTGGGCAGTGCCCCCACCCCCACCTCCCGCTCACACAGTGATGTGAGGTCCACCCGGTGGGCAGTGCCCC